GTCAACTTTCACTTCCACGCTACAGATGTCTGAATGCGGTGATATTGATTGGGTATTTGAGGGTGAGTTTGACTTTGCATTTTGCTTTGACTGATTAATGTTACACGAATTTAGAAAAGACGTATGGAAAGAGGAAGAGAATGCCTCACAGATTGCTTTACCATCAGAGAAGGTTTCATTTTTGTAGACAAGAGTACTAGGGACAGTAAGCGAGTTGTAGCGGTTTTTAACAAAACTCCAGAAAGCCTTGGGATTCTTTTTAATAGAATTTTCACAGAGATTAATATAGTTTTGGTAACATTTAGCTTCCATCGTTTTTACTCTGTCACGCAAAAGCTTGAATGATAATTCATCTGATTTATTACCATAATTCTTAAATTTTTTAAAGTATTTATATTTTTCTTTAATCGTTTTTATAAGAGGCAAGTTGAACCACACCGGATATGTTTTATTATTAATCCTTCTACGGGGAATATGTTTATTTTGAAGGTGAATTATAGTTTTATTAAAAAAGTCAACGGATTCATCCACTGTCCGTTGTGTAAATTCTTTATCCCAATCGATTAAACCAATGTCCTTGTTAAGGGATTCAAAATCTCCTTTGCTGAAAATATAACGCATACCTGGAGCACAATCTAGAGGTGGCAACAAACTGACTTCGGTGTCAATTAATAATGCGGGGTGGTAGGCATCAATAGAAACAAGAGGTTCAGGACACTCCATTACCGAAACTGAGTAGTTCGAGAGTACTAGGTCTAGAATTTTACCATACTTATTAGTCACACCATTATACTGATCAAGGCCCATCGTGCTTAATCCATCCACTAGCATAACTTCATCACGACTAGAGTAATTCTCAGGAGCAAAACATAGATTATTAGATCTCCATAGGATTCCACTCAAGTTGAAGTCGCCTATTACCAAAAATATGTATAACAGTAAGAGACTGCAATTGGCAGAACTGCGCAGCCCTTTTTGCCCAGCGCCCCCATATTTTCACATATTTAAAAACCACTATAACTTCAAATTAAATTAATTAATTATTGTGACCTATATATGTAAATTAACCGAGAATTCTAAACGAAACTTTGACTATAACCCGCAACGTAAGACCTGCAGCGCCCACAAGGGGAAAGACTGATATGTATGTTCTACATCTATGTCAAATTTCAGAGCGATCTCGACAACTGTTCTGAAGATACTTTTTAACAAACTATTCATTCATCCATCAATCCAAACATTCGCATTTTAATGAGATTACTGATTATTAGGTAATAGACTTAAATCTCGAGGCCGCAATTCATACGTTATTTTAGCATAGCAGAGAACTTGCTACCAGCTCGTGCCTCCAAAATATATTGACGATGACAATTACGAAGTAAGTTTAAGTAATGAGATATAACAAAGTAATGTACTATAACATCTGTGGCTAATCGTACCTACAAGTAGTAAGTGCAATTTCCATGCTTTACTTATCTGCGGTGTAACACTGTCATCTCAACAATTAACTTAAATGAAACTGATTTAATACTAACAAAGAAATTATTGATAAGCATTTTTTTATTAAAATTAACAAAAATGATAATTTCACAATAATGTATTTATAATGTCTTTAATACCGCTAATAGAATATTTATATGATTCCATTATAATTATGCCAAATGTTCCAAACTAAACGATTTTGTATAAATACAGTGTAAGTACAAGTAGAGTCACAATTCACATCAGAGCTTCACAGCACTACAACAATAGTCATGTTCAAGACAACATTGTTCTCCGTTCTTTTGTTGGCTTTGGCCATGCAATCTGGTAAGTTATTCTTGTTTAAATATTGTACCTTCATATTTTGTACTTTCGATGTCTTTATTTATTGGTTTTATTATTTTCTAGTAAATGGTAAGCCAGCATGCGGTTGTGAGAACTCACGGACGCCTCCGCCTTCGACTCTGCCGCCGTGTCAGCCGGCCACGCTCGAGCCTTGTGCCCAGCAGGAGGTCAGGACCAGCAGCGCATGCGTCATCACAACTGCTCCCAGAGTACCCTGCATCGAGCAGGCGACACCCTCGACAACGACAACAACGACCACGAAACAGCCCCCGACCACAACCACCACCACTACGACAGTAGCGCCCATTACCACGACGGCCGCTCCCAGGACTGACTGCTCGAACGGTGACATTTACCCCTATAGTGTGGGCGGCTGCAACCAGTTCCTGATGTGCCGCAACAGAGTGTACATCCTGATGGTCTGCCCGTCGGGACTCGGCTTCAATTTCCAGAGCAAGAGCTGCGAGCGCTCCGACATCGTGCCCGCTTGCAGTGCACGTATCTAATTTATAGGAATCCTTTTATGATTAAGAATGTCCTAATTAATATTTATTTATTAAATAAAAAAAGGTTTCGTTATATGTGTCTTTGAGTATTATCCATCTAGACTCAAAATTACTTGTGCTTCATACATGTTTACTACTAGCAGAATTTTTGTTTATATTAACAAAATACATGTTTCACCTGTTAAAAAGTTTATTTAATTTTTAACCAAGTGATTTTGCTAAGCTAACCAACCTCTGACTATACTAATCTATCTTACGATATGTCCATGCGAAAAAGTACATTTTCTATTTTTTTAGTAAAAGAAAACCTACTCAAACGAGTCAAAACTCGGAAGTTAGCTCTCATTATTCAATGATTACAATAAAATTTC